CCTTCAATATGGTAGTAGTTTTCATGGATCATAATTTGGAAGATATGCAATGAACCTTGTGTTGTCATTTTTCAGCCGCCTATGAGTAAAGCTCGAAAATCTATAATAGCTGAAGCATTTAATAAATTAGACAAGACTGGAGATCAAGTCATTACCATTGAGGACCTCAAGGGGTAGGTGTTATTGTTATAAGAGACATTAAAGAACTGGTTAAATTGTGTAATGATAAGGTCATCACTGAGAAACAAATAGAGTTTTCATACAATGTAGCATAATGCAAACACACCTGTAGGGAATTTAGGAGTCAAGAATTCTAAGGGTTTTTGTATTTATAATGTATTGTAAGTATTTTCAAATTCTCGCTAACTCACTTGAGTGTTTGTAACAGTGAATAACCCATTTTTAAAAACGCTTACAAGGCAACCATTTTTATATTCCTTTTGTGAAATGTACAAATTATATGCTTATACATCCTCATACAAAATGACTATTTGACCAATCAGGGCTTGTGAATTATATTAATATATACACTGTAAGGCTGAGAGACCATTTGGTCAAGACAGTTCCTTATGAACTGACTCGTAAAACATTTTTGCTGTATTTTCAGTTCAGAGTTGCCTTGGTCAGGGAAAATTATATTTTATTCAAAGTCAGGGAGAAGTCAGAGAGTTTTGTATCAGGTCAGGGACTTTCTAAATCCCTGTTCAAAGTCAGTGAAAAGTCAGGGAATTTTACCTTACGGTTGCCACAAATTATTTTATTAGATGTTTTCATGAAGACAAGGCAATTTTGTTTTAAAAATTATGTAAGCCATTCTTATTTTTGTTGATTTATGGCCAGAATAATTGTCCTGCATGGTCAGTGAAGATTGCTAAGTCAGGGAAAAGTCAGGGATTTTTTTTGGTTCTGGTGGGTGGCAGCCCTACAGTTAAATAGACAGTAACTTGATGTACATGGGACAAATTTCTGGTAATCTTATGAAGGTTTTTAACAGCTGTTGAATGACTTTATTTTAGAGTTTACAATGTTAAGATGCATCCAAAATACCAGAATGGAGAGATGACAGAAGAACAGATTTTTATAAAGTTTTTAAACACTTTCGAGGTTGGCAGTGCTGAAATGGATGGAAGGGTAAGATTTCACTGCAGTTGTGTGATGCATAAGTTGTAGAGAAATTTGCTGTAGGCTGTTAGTTTAGTAAAAATGTAAATCTCTGGAGAAATGTTGCCACCTGTTGTAATTACACACTCTGTACATGTAGTTAACACTTTACTCCCTAAGGGTGCCAATTGGCACACAACTTCATAACTTTGTGAATATTTGAGATGCACGTGGAGTGCAAGACTTGCTAAATGAGCTATAGTTCAGCGTGGGTGCACCAATGATATTTGAGAGTTGAGATGTGTTGGAAGTTTTTCAGTTTCACATTTTAAAACGATGTCTCTCAAAATGATTATCCCCTTCGTAGCTTTTGATGATCAGTGGCTTTCAAATGGTATATTGTACACAGGCAGGAAGTCTTTATTTGCTGATTTGTCAAGAAATATTGCTTACAAGCATTAGGCCAAAAAATGGTTTAAAAGTACCAAAAAGGAAACAAAACGTTTTTGACTTACTTGCAAACGAAGTTGTCATCAGGGTGATGTTGAAAACTTCATTTGAAGTGGAAAACGTTTCGTTTTATCCTTTTCAGGTATTCTGAAATGATGTTTTGGCCTTGCAAATAGTATTTACAATCAAACATGAACGTTACAGACAAGAAAAAAAGCTGCAAAGCATACATCATTAAATACACTTTGTCTAGTAAACATAACAGTCATACTGAACCTTAAAAGCAAACATTTGTCTTTCCTATTTTCCAGATTACTCGAGATGAATTCATGAACTACTATGCTGGTGTCAGTGCTTCTATAGACAATGATGCTTACTTCCTCCTTATGATGAAGAATGCCTACAAACTGTGAATATGCGCCAAGCTTCCTGTTAGAATTGTACAACTTAGAACTACAGAGCTATGTGGTGTACAGTCAGTGCTGGTGGCCATGGAGAGGTGGTCTAGAAATTAGTTGATTGTTGGCAGCCTTTGGAGTAGCCACTCCTATAGAGCACATGCAACATCACAGGAATTTGTACATACAATTGTGACAGCATTTAATGCTTTCAGAAACATTATATTTACTTAAAATAAATATAACTTTCATGGAAATTAATGACCAATTTTTACTTTCTTTTTACCCCATTGCGACGCACTCAAGCTGGTAGTCTGTGATACTGTAGGACTTGCTCACCACATGGTAGAGCCTGCATAGAGAAACAGATTCTCCAACGGAGAATTACTCACAATGTATGGAAAGCAATAAGGAGAATCTCAATGTTGATCATGAGAGAGAAACGATGATATACCTACAACGTTTTTTATTTTGTTTATTAGTTGTAAGCGAGAAAGTGTTCGCCCTCTTTCAGTCCTGTTGTTTTTATGTTGCTCGAACCCTTCGTGATCTCAGAAGAAAATATTTTTTTTCATAACTTTTTATGATTATTATTTTTTAATTTATGCTATTTGAAGGACTGTTTGTGTTCCTCCAATAAAGCGTAAAGCCCACTCAATAATACATGTAATTGTAAACTTTACTTTAGACATTTTCCGACATTTTCAGAAATAAAGATAAACAACTGAAAATAACACACGACAATAACAGTGTTGTTTTTAAAGGGAATAGGGCCTCTCACTCATACGCAAACAGTAACCCTAGCTTTTCATCGGACCAGACAGGTCTCAAGGTGAAGGGCTTGGGTGCTGGCTAATTACCAAGTCCCGGAAAACTCCAGCCCAACCACAAAGTAACGAAGATTTTGGATTGTAAATATGATCCGACTTAAAGTTCTCAAATTTCTCAGAATGAGTATGTAAAAAGTTGCCCGAAGGGAAAAAAAGTTTTTCAAATTATGAAAACTTGCCGAGCAACTTGTAGACAGTTCCGGTGACCGAAAATGGAAGCCACCGAGTGCCTATTTCACTTTCAAATAGCAGATTTGCACGTTGTCTTCATTTGACTACAGCTACGAGAATTCCGTGATAACCAATGGAATGTATAAATTATATACTGCAAAGAATTCCAAAATAAAATATTTACATTCCGGGAAAACTAAGCTTATATATAAGCTGTATTTTGTCCACCTGATGTCCACTGTGCCAAATGCAGGTAACATATCAAATATTTAATATCTCAAATAGCTAGTCTCTGCCAGATAGAGGTATTTGCTTTCTGAGACTAACCTCGTGTAAATGTTTAGATTGCCAACTTTCATTGTAATAAAAGAACGTAATGTTGTGCAACCAGCGAGTTGCTTGGTACACAAATTTTATTACAAAGGGACTATTTTACATTCTTATTGTTATCCCACTAGCGATAGACACATTTTTGTGCTTGTTTACAATATCTTATTTCTATTTTATAGTTGCCCCGCGGAAATTTGATGTTCTTAAAACTAGCATATTTGTTTTAAGAACATGAAATTTCCGCGGGGCAACTATCAGCCGATAGTTCCTCGACAGAAACACTCTATTGTCTTTATTGTACACCACTAAATTTTCTTCCGCGCGCCAGTTCAAAATCATATTGAATTATTTTCAACTTTGTTTAGAAGGAAGCCGTGAAAGCCAAATGTAAAATTTAAAAAGGAAAATAAACAAAACCCACTTAATACAATTTCACTTGTTTATTTTTTATAAGCTCGCTTGTTTACAGAGATTTTTCACGAAACAGTACTATCCATCCGGGTATTTTCCTCGAACGGGCACTATGGGCTGGTAGTGTCTCTCCACGGATGAACACTATCGCGTCACGTGATCAATTTAAACCAATAGGAACCGGAGACAATTTAGTGGTTAACTATAAGAGCCAATAGTTTCGCTGATTCAAACACTCTCAAACACCCCCTTGTATATAAAAGGTTTTTCATGCGTCGGTTTCACGTTTCTTTAACATTGTAGCTGTACTCTGTCTTTCCAAGAGGTAAGTCGTTCAACCTTAATATTTTTTAAACAAACTTTTATTTCGTAGATTGACATTAACTTTGTTTACTCCTGGGCCCCTGCCTATCTGATTTCTCTCTTCGACAAAAAAAACACACACACAAAACTGTATTATTGACATGCGAACAAGCATATCCGTACGGGCGTTGCATTTATAATTTAACAGCCTTAGTTAACCATGGAAATTTCCATTGACATTATGTTTAGTTTGAACCTTTCCGTGCCCAAATGTTTACCACTGAGGTAGTCATTTAAAATAATACTTTACTCTTCTTCTTAAAGGCATTCTGTGAGATTTGCCATGTGTAGCGATATTTATTTTCAGTACCGTTAAGTTAAATGTTGGGTGTGTCCATTTAAGAAAACTAAATTTGCCCCTGTCTGGATAATCAAGTTGCAATTCCTGAAACAATGTTTAACAAGTGTTTGCTGTCCAATTTACCTTAATACGCTTGTGCTTCACTGACTGCTCTAGTTTGCTGAAAATAATATTAATATTCGATTTGTGGGTAGAGATGATAGCGGCATTTCAGTTGCAGTATGCTAATTTGTCATCTTCTGTTCAATACCGCTTGCAAAGCTACTGCTGGAAATTAGAGGAAACACTTCTACTCAGAGGAAACACTTCTATCCAAATAAACACTACATTTGCAATTGGAAGCGAAAATATCTTTCACTTTTTTAGTGCACGAGTCACTCGATAATAAAATGTTTTTACCGCGTCATTGGTAATCGATTTAACAAATCAAATGTGGTTTAGCGTGGTCTGTTCTGTTTACGGCAATTTTAACATTGGTCTGGACTAGGGAACTAATTATAAGGCAGGTCTGGAACAGGGTTTTGATATAAGGGTCGTGTCATAAATAGGGTTTCGAATTTTTGGTCAGGTCATAAATAGGGTAGGGAAAATCGCAGATTTTGGTCATAAATAGGGTATGGGTTTTGGGAAGCGGGCCGCACATTCTGGAAGTGTCTCCCCCCCGGAGGGAGGCTATTATTACCAAAACCTTTTTGTAAAAATTACAACAAAGCGCACCATACATTCTGCCAGATAACTTTAGACTTTGTAATTTGAAATTTATTTCCTGTGGTTTTTGTTTTAAAACAGGTTTTAAACATATTAACCAAACTCAAAAATGGAAGCAATCATCAATAAAGTCCGGGTTGCTTGTGAGAAAAGAGGCACAACTGGGCCAAGAAAATTGGCGAAGTAAGTTGAACATTTTGGTAAAGTTTAATTTTTGTCCCAATACTGGAAAAAGATATCAAACACAAGTTGCTACTAACCAGGGCCAAAACCCACTAAAAATACAATTTATAAAATAAGCCATGTTCGAGATTCTCCGCTTCAAAATTGGAGTCCTGGTGAACAACCTGTCATGTGGAAATGAATTTGATTTGCAAGACAATGAACGTGCGAGAAAACTCCTTGCCATATGAAAGTTTGTGCTCCAAGACTCGTCTTGAAACGGAGGTAAGGATGCTCGCAAATGGGCTTAATGTATCCACAAGCAATAAATGTTTAGTCGGAAATTGACTGGGACCAAAGTTGGTCGCCTATTAGAGTGACGTATCGCGTGGCACTATTCAAACATACACTCAGGTCTGACTACTGCATGTTTCAATCAATGAATTTTCCCTATTGTTATGTTTCTTGCTTTAATGTTTTGCTCTCTTTGGTGACTGTAGCTCTCTGATGTACGCTTTCTGGTATACCAGAATTATCGATCAACCATGTTACTGAATGAATTTGTTTTGAAGCACTTTCAAGTTGTTTGATGACAATGGAGACAAGAAGTTGAGTTTTGAGGATTTCATGAAAGGCATGCGCGATTACCAGACTGGAGTGACTCCTGAGGTCAGTATAGGCACTGATTATGTATTGACTTTTTAATAACCGTTCTTTGAATAACAATAACGTATAGATTTAGCCAGGCCTAATTGCGAGCTCCTATGCCGGGTTGTTCAAAGCCCGATTAAGCTAACCCAGGAAAAGCGAGAATTTTGATTTGAGTTTTGTAACTCTGCGGTGAGGTTTTCTGTTTATATTGTTTGCCTCTCTGTTTTGAGCTTGACTAAACTCAGACTACACAGAACAAAAGCAGTGGAAAACATTTGAACACAAGAAAAATTGATGCTTCGGTTAACTTTGTTAAATCGTGGGTTCCGGCTTCCGAACAACCCGGCCCTGTTTACAACAAGTTAACCTGACATGAGCCCGTGATCCAATCGAAAAACCAGGACTTGGTCAGCACGTAACACGTAACCTCGATGAGCTCTAAACTTGAGGCCGCGATATGGTCACGAGATACTGGTTAGCGGATACCTTGTTTTGATAGGTGTCAATTGACCATAAAATGGAAGTCCAATATCAAAGAAGTACGCTAAAGCAAGGCTGCATGTCTCTGTCAACCCTTTTAGCTGGAGCTTTTACGACTGCTAGCCATGATAACCATGAGAAAATCCATTCATGGGTTTCCTTTTCTTTCCTATATGAGTATGGGGTTTGAGCTCCGCTAAAAAGAACTTAAAATTAAAGTTGTTAAGAGCTGATAGCTCCTGGTTTAGCCAAGCCAGGAATAAGGCCGTAACTCGTTGTAAAAACCTGTGAAGGTTTTCTAAATTTGGGAGATACAGTTTTTCTACTTTATATTATTTCTCTTGTTGATGAGTTGTATAGGATTTTACACTGAAGATGAGCCAAAAATCCCTTTATACAAGAAATGTATGGTACTTTCTAAGTTTTACATTTTTCAGGGGCAAACTGTGCGATTTTAGCCTATTCCTTCTTCAAAATTCCATGAAACCAAAACATAAATTTCTAGATTTTCTATAGAATATTCTGTAAAAATATTTAAAATTTTATCAATCGTGGGTTGAGAAACGCCGCAGATTGTAACAGTTATTTACTCTTTTCAGCAATCGATCTCCAGCCTTTTTACTTGTGATTCAGCTAGTAGTATAAACGACTTCCCTGCGTGCCTCCTATACTCTGTGTCAAGAATGTATGCCGACGACACACATATGCGCTAGTGATCCAGTAGACTTACAATCCAAGTTAAATAGAGATTTAGTCAAACTCCAGACCAGGTTACAAGCTAATAAACTTAGTCTTAATGTCAAAAAAACTAAGTATTCTTTTACTGGTAGTCAGAACAAATTGCTTAACTTAAACCACCAGTTTGATGTAAAAATCGATGAACATTCCCTAGAAAGAGCTAAAACCTACAAGTATCTTAGCATATTGATTTGGATGAGAGCTTATCGCGGGACTTCCACGTTGACAACATTGTCAAAAAAGCATCTGCCAGTGCATCCTCACTGATCCAGAGGCGGTTAGTCGGGAAGGGACGAAGTCAGCCGAGCACTGCCGAGTGGCAAAATCGACGTTGCGAAAACTTGCAATCGTTCTCGTCAATCTTCGTTGCATTGTTTTGAAGTCAGCTTACATCGGGTCAGATGTCTTTGGGTCTGTGAGGATGGGCAAGTAGAACTTTGATAGTACTTTATTGTTATCAGGACGTTTTTCTCTGATAATTTTAATTTTTTTGGAAAAGACGATTAATAGCTGTGTCTGTTATGATAACCGATGCAAATATTTCATGTCACTAACTACAGGAAGGCAGGACGTTTTTTGATGAACTTGATAAAGACAAGTCTGGATACCTCAGTCTCGCCGAGTTTCTTAATATGCTGAGGGTAAGCAATACCTTTCATTTGTATTTTAGTTTTAAAACTCCTTCTCCCATGTATTGGCCGAAACGACTCCAAAGATGACCAGTTCTGGGAGTATATTCAATCATTAACACTTTGTATGCGAGGTGGTGTGAGTCGAGTATTTTCTACCTGTATAATTCGTTTGATTTTGTTTTATTATTTTGCTCATTTATTGTCTAAGTTCATGGTCATCTCCTTATTGACAGTTCATTTTTTTTCCATTGGCATGCAGGAGCCTTTGTCTGCTAAATGCTTGGAGGTTGTGGAGAAGGCTTTTGCCAAGTTAGACAAAACAGGAGATGGACTTATTACATCTGAAGATTTGAGAAAGTAAGTTTTGTCTGCGTTTTAACTGTTCATTATACACTATAAAACAACTGAAGAAAAGCACAAGAAGCCTCAATAGGCCGTCTTCGTATTCTCGGTATTGGACTGAAACTAGCTTGCAATGGAGGCTCAATCGGAGGAGCATCATTTAAGGAGAGATTAATGTCATTTGCATTTGAAAAGACGCGCCGGCGTTAGCCTCAGTTCCAGTCCAGTAGCAAAACAAGGTGAGAGGGAGGACTGAGGTAGAGAACGAGAGGGGAGGGGAGGGGAGGGAGGGAGGGAGGGAAGGAAAGAACTGGACAGGAACAGATGATGGAAGTAACAAAAACAGACTATACTTAGGACGTCAGAATAGAGTGAAAATAACATAGGAAAAAAGTTCTTCAGATTAAAATTATGCAGAGATTTTGTAATTGTAATTGAGTGCTATAAAGACGGCTGAAATGAGACAGCGCGGTCTTCTTTCACTGTTAGAAACCACTTTACTAAGAACTTTACATGTTAAGGTATTATCAAGCCAGTGACGAACAAAGTTTTGATGAGTATCTGGCTCAATATGACGGTAGTGACGCAAAAGCTGGGGTAAGTAGGACAATTGTGCTTCTTAGTTAAGGTTTGACAGGCTGGGTCGAGGTCGAAAGCAAACATTTGCTCAGAATACAATTTTCAGTTGTTATCGTGTAATCACCCGAATCAATTGAAACAAATTAAAATAGCACAGACTTATAGTTTTATTTTGAAATGGTTTCTAGGCAGCATAGGTTACCATAACAATTATAGCAGTAATCTTTTGCTGATTTTCACAAAATCTTGTCAGAAGTTTTTAATGTCTTAAGACATCGCGGTTACTGTAACT